CTTTCAGAGAGATACCGATAATAATATTCTGGCTTATTGCACTTTTAGCCCAATCAATTAAATCCAATGGAGACTTCACTACGCAAAATTCATAAAAATTAAAATTGAGAATAACTAAAAATAAGGCTAAGTTCAAAGCAAACTAAATAGAATTTGAAAAATTTCTTTAAAACATTTTTCCATTTCATTACAATTATATTTAGAGGGTTTATGAAACCCTTAGAATGATATCACAAATGTTGAGAATTTTTGGTTTAAAAAACCTTCCTTCATCTAACTTTAGTTCATAGAAGAATTTGGTTGTAATTTTGGATAGTATAGAAAAGAAGATTTAGTATAAATTTAATGCTTTAAAGATTACCGTCTTGAAATAATTGCTTTGCTTTTCTGAAAAACATCTTTTTTTTTCAGTAAAAGTAATATAGATTAATTTAATATAAGAAGTATCATGTAGTAATCTAAAGCTTTTAGAATTCTCTAATAGATCTATGGTAGATAAAACTATAAATGGTAAACAATTAAAATTTGGAGACTTATTTTTTCTGTAGTATAATTTATTTAAAAAATATCTCTTTTATGAGCAACTTCAAAATGTTTGTGAAAGGTTTTATGGTCGAAGAAGAGTTGAATTTACATATAAATAGCATAAACCAATAAAAATTTTGAATTACTTCTATCGATTATTCAAATTGAATCAAATAAATTCACTTATTGCTTGTATTTACTCTTTTTTTTATCCATAATGTAAAATCGTTTCACCAAAAATTCAATTATATCCTGAAAAGGAAATTCTTTTCACCATAAATATTCATTATTTTATTCAAATGTAGTCCAATGAATTAATAAAAATAATCAATAGAAGTAATCAATAAATATTACAGTCTAAAAAAGACATTTTTAATGAATTAAATCTTATTTTTTTCCTTTTACATAATCTAATGTGTTGCAAAAAAAAATAGATCTTTTACAATTATTAAATAGTGATATATAGAATCGAAATATCCTGTCAGTAGGATTGCTTAAGACAATAATCTTACAAAAAGTTATTAGTTTTTTAATTGAAAATAGAGTCTGAATTTAATCTCAAAAACAATAATAATTTCCAAAATCAACAAGATGATTTAATTAAAAAGTAAAGGTAAACAAGCCCAGCAAGCCTTAAATTATATCAACTTAAAAGCAAAGCAACTGTGATTTAGTCTCTTGGAGAATTATCTAGAGTACCCAAGATCGAAGTATAGGGATGCTTTCATCAACGTCTTATTAATTAGAGTATATCCATAATAATTGTGAGAAGTGTAGGAAGTAGTAATTCAATTATTAAATAGTCTATAAGAAACATCTTGACTAACATATGATAATCTTTATTCAAAAATTCTCCCCGTCACTTTTTACTTGGATCTTATGTTAATCTGATATCTGCATTATAAAAAAGCTCTTCAGATCATTAACTATGTTGCTGATTAATGTTCATGTCTTAAACATTAATTAATTCAAAACAACTATAATAACTATTTTTCTAATAAGGAGACCATTCTTAGATTATTTATAATATAATCATTTATAAATTGAAAAAATCTCGAATTTATTAAAATTATAAATATTGATAAGTTTTAAGATATAAATAAGATTTATTATTATCCTCTTAATGAAAGAGTATTATAGAATTTTTTGGAAATTGATTTTAATCTTTATACTTTTAAAGTAAGATACTGTATGATTTTTTTTTTGATATGAAACCATTAAATCTTCTTTCTTTTTAAGCAGAATTTAGATATAATATATTTATAGGTATTATTTTAATAAACTATCTATTAATAATCTATTCAATTATTACTATTATAATAAGTTTAAAATAATTAATTTATTATTGCCTATCCTTTTTGACATATTTCTTTTTATTTTTCTATTTTATTATCTTCATTTAGTTTTATGATAAACTCTATATTGATTGAATATTTAAAATGAATTTAAATTAAAACCTTCAATAATACAAAAATAGGATAGTTATATTTAAAGATAAACATTCAAGCTTAAATAGGGTAGAAGATAAAAAATACATCTAATATGTATACATAAAAAATCACCTTTTTGATTTTGAGTAATAGATGATATAGTTTATCCATTTTAGCTTAGATTAGAAAAATTTATTGAGTATTAAAGAAAATGATAGAAATAATGTAATCGGAACTTGAGATTATACAGTTTAAGATTAAAAGTTTATAAAATGTATATAACCAAAGGTTAATTAAAGTTTAGTAATAAATAAAGATAAAGAGGTTTATATTCTATAATAATCAAAGCATTTTATTTTTCATTGGGTTATAACTTAGATAAAAAAGCATATTTAAGGGATTAATAAATACAAAAGTATTTTTAAAGAGCTGAAAATTTTAACCATTCAAAATCCATACAAATAAATTTCGAAAAAACAAATAAAGGAAAATATTAAAAATAATGAATCTTGTCATAAATTTATTCACATTTAAAATGTAAAATTTAGTATACTGTTAATTTATTTTATACTTCCCAAAGGGTTTGGGTTTGGGTTTGGG